CAATACAAACGGCAGTCTTTAACACATCCTCTCCATCTGTAACTACTAGCTATATGGTCAATCTGACTCCACGTCTGTACCAAAGAGGGGTCACACCAGGTGGCGAGGTGACGTTTAGAATGTCTGAAGTTCGCGCTAACGAAGAACAGACCGTGTTCTGAGCATATGCTAAGAAGTCTATCCCCATTATCTGAACGACAGCTATCAAAGCCATGACGGTTACCAAGGTGGGTTTTATCGGGTGACAGACGGCCAACGCGTGCATTTAGGTCTCCGGACAGGATCACGATATCTGTCTTGGGTGCTTTGATAAGAAGCTGATGTAGATTGTGATGGAAGGCGTCCTTGACTGTATCCGGGCTAAAGTCTGGGGGAGCGTATGCAGAAACTACGAATAAGCATCGTTCATTTGGTTTCCGCTTTTTGACTTTATATGAGCCTCTGAGTCTCGCTGCGCATAGTCGGCTATCTATCGGGATCCAATCCAATAGACCAGCCTCGGCCCTGGCACTCACGGCAATAGCAACGCCTGCTTCACCAGACGTTTAAGCGATAAGGTCCTCGAAGACGCGCAGTTGAAACGCTTCTTTAGGATTGGAAGGAGACGGTAATCGGATCCTGGATGCGTGTTTCCGAGAGGAACACATCACTCTCTAGACTTTCGAGCGTACGAGCCAAACCTGTTTGTTGTCCTATACGCATTAGAGTTCTTACATTGAATGAAGCCAGTTGGAATGCAGAGTGAGGTCGGAGGAATGGAACGGTCAGCCCCGAGACAGATGTCAAGAAGGATAGCTGCGAGCTACCACATGAACCTACGTCAATGGAACCGTTCAGGGTGGGATAAACAGTGAAAAAGTGGGTATTGTGTGGGGGGCGAGTGAAAGTGTTACGTGCAGATTGTAAGAGAAAGCTTTGCAGAGGTGTAATATTCTGCGACATGCGTGTATGTGTATGTCCATAAGTCCATAGTTGGATGGGGCATGTGTTACGCATGTCACCAAATAGGTTGCCACGGCGAGCGATGTTTGATGAGGCAGGTAGTGGATGGAAGATAACCAAGGGTGGTCAACCTAAGACCTGGCATGAAGGTATGAAAACCCCAACCAAGGGTGTGAGTCACATAAGTCCCGCTAGGCTCCTTTTATAGGGACCTCGGAACGATCGTAACCGATGGTTAGAGACACTAAGTGATATGGCTGGTGTCGTAAACGGTGGCGTTCGTGCATCTTCTCAGTTTCTCTGTATCATTAGTCCAATGAACTTTTCAATTTTCTCTTTGATCCTACTTCCAGCTTTTCCTGTCTTTCTCGTCATTTCATCCACATAGGCAGCCGAAAGACAGCAACCAAAACCGGCGCACGATGGTGCACGATGGTTGTGCAAACTGAACTGAAGAGATCCAACGTGCACGTATCAAAATGTAACCCATCTAGTGCACCGTTCGAGTACTAAGTCAGTAAGAGAGCGCAGGGCCCGTCAATTGCCGGGGACACTAGTAAATATTTGATGTAGTACTACAAGACAGTAGTAGTGGTGACATCGCATGTAAATCGATTCCTGAAGGATCCTTGTGGTCTATGGAGTTAATTTATTCTCTAACCTGACATTGTCGCGTACAGATAGTAATTTACTGTGTTCGGTCAATTTCTTCTATGTTTTTAATCGACGATCCCCTGATCACTCTACATTTGGAACCTTTCGATCTTCTACCATTGTCTCCCTCACACTCTGCAGGCCGATCACCCTTGTTGTCGCCAAATGTTGGGATCCCAGTCCGAACAACTATTTCACCGTACCGCGTCAAGAGCCGGTTCGTCCGATTGATCCACGTGCTTGGGTCTTGCATACAAATGCAATGACTGGCGCCGTGGGACCTCCTGGTTCATCTTCCGGTCAACCGTTCCCGGGTCCCGGCTCTCCGCCTACTGCAATGGGGATGATGCAAGGTAAGTTATTCGTTTCCACTATTATGTATTTTTGCAATCTGTTTCAATGAAGAAGCGCTTGGAGGTTGTGGCTTTTCGGTCATCTAAATCGTCCCTAACGTGCTTTGGACCCTAGGATCCGAAATTTCAACCCCACCATCGCCACCGAACTTTCGTGGTAAGACACTTCTTTGTTGTCTGGCACAATATCATGTTCACTCCTTTTAGGGGGCTTCATGCGGTTCTCAACTCGAACTCTCAACGCTCCACTACCTTGCTGATCGATCTTTGACTAGCCTCAGATTCTCATCGTGAATCCCAAAGAAAATTCACCTCCTGTCGTCCGAACAACCTGCCAACTTTCCGCCCACGCGTAAAGTATAGACAGATTTCTTCATGAAAAAATATTATTGTGGTGCAATCCGAACTGCTCATCTTTCAGACCCCAGGTTCACGCAAAATCCGCAATTAATCCAAGCAACCATACCCATTGGATGAACTGCTGATTGTGCATGAAGTTTGAGGAATGGTCGATCCTAATCCATATCGCTTTATGTCACGCCACTACTCACAAGTTTGAGATAAGGGCGTCCAATTATTTGCTTCACACATGGACTCAGACAAGCTGCACACACACAAAGACATTATATATATATATATATATATATATATATATATATATATA